GACCACTTTTGGCTTAATGAAGTTCGCAAAACCCGAAACACGCGTAGCAAAAAAATATGGAAAATAAACATAATATATATTTAAAAAATCCACTTTATAACCCGAAGACCTTTGCGGCTTCTCTCTTCTTTATAAAATATACACTTTTCTCTCGTTGAAACAGCTATAACCTCTTCCTTATATATATATATATATATATATATATATATATCGGTGTGTACTACCCCCGGCCGTGCAATGTGGGGGAGGGAGGCAAGCCTGATTAGGTGCCCTGGGAAGGGCTTTGTGACCACGCTATCTTATGAACATTTTCTTTTTTTCTACCTACATTTATATACGTTAAAAATTAAACTAAGGACAAAAAAATTTCGTGGATTTGGATGCCATTCTGGGGTCTTCTTTTATTTTGTCCAAATCCCTGAATTTGTTTTGCTCATGTATTTCACGAAAAAACACTATACAGCATGCACTATTTTTTATCCATAATATTGAATGTGTTAAAATTATTAAAGGTTTTATCGAGAAAAATCTCAAGTTGTTAAAACTGCCGCAATGAATTATTGAATTATTTTTGAATCTATTACGACATATCACAAATTTATATTTAGATATATTGTGTTTATTTTCAATTTTTCTAGTTAAATTGTTCACATCTATTGAATGTCATCCATTATTGTACATAATTAGTTTACAAAAAAAATTGTATTTTTTATATATTCTACTTTATGAAAATTGAGATATAATTGAATCGGGGGTCTTCTATCATAGATCCGGGGGCGGGAAGACACGAAAACCTTGCATATATAATATCTCGTTTACATAGCGTGTATGTAATGCGTTAAAAAATAACATTTCTGCGCCGATAGCCTAGGGATAAGAGTCTCTGACTGATGTCAAGTCGGCCGAGTTTCGATCCCGGCTTGGAGCAATCGGATGTCTAGCAACACTGATATACTGCGAAACAGGCTGTCTGTGGATGACTATATATATATATGTGTGTGTGTCAGAGAGTGAGAAAGAAGAGATATTCACCATCGGTAAATGCGCAAAGCGTTTGTTCTTTATGTTGTTTTAATTCAACTGATTTTTTTTCGTTTCGTTTCCAGCGGAATTGATGCGACTGAAAGCGGTTATTTTTAGTAATATTCCTACAATTGATCAACCATTTTTTCCTCTACCAATTAAATACCGTCTCTACTTCTTTAACCAACTTAATTACATATTCAACTTTGTTCGACCGTAGGAATCTCTTTTTTTTTGTATATTTGTGACTTGTTAACTCAGGGTTTCGCTTGATCCGTTCTTCGTCTCTCGTCAGGCTTAATCCGTGATCAAAAATTCAACCTCTAAAATGCACAGCCGATACATTGTTTTTAACAACTGTAAATATACAAAGAAGAGATAAGTGTGTCCGAAAAATGATGGATATGTTAACGACCTCTAAAAATCATGGGCAATGAATAAATGCACACTCTCAGATTACCAAATCTTGAGCCAGGATCTCATATCTCTAACGCTCAGGATATTCATACAGTAGTATAATATGGGATAGCAAGTAACGGAGATAAGAGTTATTGGGAGATATTTGAGCCTATGAGCGAGGAACTAATCCCATACCTGTTTTACATGCGTAGTCGTCTATGTTGTTTGTGTATTTCGAATGTGGTATAATAACTAGCAAGCATGTATCGTTAGCTCAATTACGACTGAATAGAGAGTTGGATCCTCACTGGGTTCTCCATGATTTCGGCCTTGTGCCACATCTAAGCCACGCTTAGAAACTTATCAAATTCAGCTATGTTGTTAATCACACAAATGCGCAAATTTTCATTATGCAATGAAAAGCCTTTTTCGCTGGAAACTTTTGCACACCTCTTAAAAAAATGCTAGCATAAAAATACACCATATTTTCAGTAGGTCGAAACTGACACTGAATATATCAGCTGTGAGTGAGTAATTAAGCAAGGCTGACTATTAAGATGGGGCTTACTAATCTTTGAATTATAAATATAGAGTTAAGCAGAGAAGCAAGGTACAGGGAGGATTGGGTTCATGTCTTCTAAAACGGAATTATCGTTTTTATGACAATTCATTCGAACTTGAAAACCACGAAAGTAGATTAGTTAAAGATGACTAATACAATCATGAAACGATAACGGAAAATGTTTTTTTAATCAATTTCATCTCAAGCAAGGCGATAATGCCACTAAGACGAAAGAAGCTACTGGAAGTTAAAGAGAATAAGAAGATTTTAGAAGGAACGATAAACCCATTCATAAATAGGATCAAGGGATACATCTCTGCTCCTGTTTAAAAGAGCATGGAGGAGTGTGAACCGGATGATAAGCGAACCTATCTACTCTTATGGAAATATGTTCACCACGTATTTTTTGGTATAATGTAATGGACTCTGTGCTGATTTCGACATATGAGGAACAGAGTTCACTTTAGAAGTGAACTGCTAGAATATCTACAGAGAGGATTTTATAATCACAGGCAAGAATTGTGTAGAAGAACCAGACACACATCTCAAAAGAACTGATAAAAGAGAAATTGTGCAAACTGTACGACGAAGTCTCTACACAACCCTCTGCAATGGCGAACTCAGAACTTCCTTTTCCTAGACTGGCTGCCAGTCAGGGCCGTGAAATTTAATCGATAACTGAGGGAAGATGAATTCATAATTTTTCCAAGGGTATTAGCGTGAAGTGAATGAAAGTCTATCGACTTAGAATTTAAACTTGGAACGCCGATCATATTTTCCGTATCGACAAACTTTGCGTTTCTTAATCTAATCTATGGTAAATGGTAAGGAAACTTTTAAGGAAACATTTGGCATTCATTAACCAAGAAGCAAGTGTTGCCCACGGTTTATAAAATGTATAAAAGTTTATCAAATCTATTTCTTAAAACGATTTATCAGGAAAACAGGCTTTTCAAGTCGAGTAGGTGCTCTCGTTTTTATTAGTATTTATAGGGGTTTCCTTTCTAGCTTTTTGTTTGAAGTAGTGTGGAACGTTAAAATCTTGTCATTATTTTCTCTTCCCTTTACATATGTTAGCCATTTTGGTTATTGCTGAAAGTCCTGAAGTCATATAGTTTCTGTTATCTGGCAAAGTTCCTTGTTTGCGATTTTGTCGCCGGTCCATATTGTCCGCAGAAGAATGTTCTTCGCCAAGATCCACAGGCTGTAATATCTGAAAGCTATTTTGATTTGAGCATGCAAATTATATACAGCTGACGGTTTAGATATTTCTGAACGAGTCTGGTGCCATGCAAGACATCCATATGAAAATCTCGATCGACTTTTCAGGATAATGTTTTGATTTCACGGTAATTTGCGGTGTTGGGCGAAAGTAACTCTAGCACAGTGCGTGTAAATGTGAGCACAAGTAAGTTTTTATGCATGTGCGTACACTGACATCCGAAGACGTATTGGGATGGCTAAAGACACATTCCAGAAGCTAAGCAAAGTATTAAGAGACAGGAAAATTTCATTGTAAACAAAGAAAAGAGTACTGAACCGTTACGTGATATCTGTCCTCCTGTAGGGTAGTGAATGATAGACGACCTCCTCAAAGATGAAGAAGAGAATTAAAACAACAGAGATGTAGTTCTACAGAAAGATGCTGAGGATATCATGAACCGAACATGTGAGCAACAATCAGCATTTAAAGAAAGAAAGAAAACAAAAAGGAAACTTATGCTTAACCTCGGGAAAAGGCAGTTGAAATTTCTGGGGTAAGTAATGAGGAAGGTGAATTTGGAAAACTTGATAACAGATAACTGAAATCTTTATCTTTTCGTTTTTCATTCAAAATACTCAAATTTTAGGAATACGTTTTCACAACGTCGCCCACATGACGACGTGATCATATTTAAACGGAACGCTGATCTTATAAAAGATTTCAGTTTGGATTGGTATTGCTTTTATGTTCATCGTCTTTTTCATGTTGAATTGTATATGGTCTATGTTAATTATGTTTTATGAATATGTCCTGGAGATGTTCTATTAGACCGAAACGTCCGACGTTGACATTAAACATTAAAACAGCATAATCGCATATTAGGATTTTTGTTTTTTTTTTCAGTATATTTTTCTTCATACTGTCGGATCTATATCCATATATTTGCTTATATATATATATATATATATATATATATATATATATATATATATATATATATATATATATATATATTACTGTGTGTGTGTGTGTTTCTGGTAGATGGATCACGTCAGCCTGGGAAGGCAGTCTAACGAAGGGGTGGGGAGAAAATCGGAATTTTAAACCACCTCTACATGGCTGATATATCCAGAAACGGAAAAGGCTATGGAAGTAAATCCAGGCAGAAAACCCGGAGTAGACCCCCGAAAGCGGTTGGCTGTCAACACTGACAAACTCCTGCAATCAAGCGGGCCCCAAATGTAATGACATGTGTTCCTTTGGGTTTTATCGGTACGGGGGGTAGGGAGAGAGAGAGAGAGAGAGAGAGAGAGAGAGAGAGAGAGAGATGTGATCTGGGTAAGGCACGGCCTTTATATACCACCACCCAGGCTTGCATCCTAGGAAGAGGTCACACACCCCGGAGTGAATTTGTACCAAACAGGGTGATAGCTTTAAACGGGTGCCTGCTGTGTGTGTGTGTGTGTGTGTGCGTGTGTGTGTGTGCTGATGACACATATTGCGCATGGTGGGTCTTAGTATGTATACATATCTTTTTATAGATATATCACGACAGCTCTATCGGAATAGATCGATCTATCAAATATACATGCTTCCACACAAACTCTATATACACATAGTTGGAAGGGTTTATCTTCTCCATAGACTTTTCATATATCTCTCTCTCATATCTATCTATTTATCTAAAAGTAGAGAAACGCCCAAAACACACACGCCAGAATCAGCCATCTTTCTTCTCACCAACCTGCGTACGACATTACCACAATTACGAAGCAACAACGAACGACTACACCATTATACGTATTTTGTTCT